ATATATATATATATATATATATATATATATATATATATATACATAAAAAGCATCCAGCCAGCTTGTTTATGACTTAAAAACTTCGTTACCTTATTAAAATACCTGTGTATTCTATTTAATTAGAGTGAGGACACTTAAAAAAGACTTTGTTCTCTCATTACTTCTGTCAGCTCAGTTGAATTTTTCTTTTTACAGCTGTTAGGCATACCTGTTTACCTCTCCACCTTCTAAAATGAATTCCTTGTGCCCTGGACCGTGTCCCCACCTGTTTCTTCTTCCTGAATTAATTCTCCCTTGTGACTAAAATTAGCTTATACATACATTTTAGGACTTTGCATTAAAAAAAAAAATTCCCCCAAGAGCTCATATCTTTCTTTGCCCTATTCTCCCCCTTCCCTTGTTAGCCAGACTTCCTTAGTAAGACTAGACTTACTATCCCCCTTTCAGTTCAGTCATTGAGTCTTTGCTCCTCAGTCCATCCTAACCTGACTTTCATGCCACTGAAACTCCTCTAACAAGGGTCATGAACGGCTAGGTGATTGCTGAGTGTTAAGAGCATCTCATCTGAGCCCTCCCTTCTTGAAGTGTCATGCTTCCTCCCTCATTCTCCTTTCACTGCTCCTCAGCCTTCTGTGCAGACTTCTCTTCTCCCTTGTGTCCCTTAAAAATTGGTGTTTCCCAGGATTCTGTCCTGGGCCCACTTACCTTCTCATTCTGCATGTCCTCCCTGGATGATTCCTCCACATCCTTCTGCTACCACTCTGTGCGTACAGTACCCAGATTTATCTCTCTAGTCCTGGCCCACGTCTCTAGACTAGAAATGCGCATATGGTCTCACAGGTACTTCAAACACAGCACTTCCAAAGTAGACTTACTAAGTCCCAAATCTGCATCTTTTGTTTTCTTCATTTTGGTTATTAACAGCACAGTTTATCCAGTCATCTGAGCCAGAAACGTGAGACCCATCTTAGATTCATTCTTTTTGACCCTCTTAATCAGTTCTAAACTCTCTCATTTCTTCTCCTTCCTCTGTTTATCCTGTGCCTAGTGGCCATTACTGTTGCCACTGCTTTGTTCAGATTTTGATTAAGTTCTGCCTGAACTAATGTAGGAGCCTCATCAGTGGCCTCTACCATTGCTCTTCACAGACCCACCCTCCACACTGCATGGTGATCTTGACAAAACATAAATCAGTAATTTCACTCCTGCATAGTCAGTTGTTCACTGGCTTCTCTTTGCAATATAAAATGACAGAGCTTGTGCTATTCCTTAAATTATTGGTATGTAATCTTTGCTTTTCTGGCTTCCTTTCTTACATATCCATATGCTTCCTTCATCAACACAAGTGTATTTGCAGCCAATTAAGCCGACTGTGCTCTTTTCCCCGTTGGGGCCAGGTGTGCAGTGGTTGCAACCAATGGCCTCCTTGGTAGTGTATGCAGCCTGTTGGCTGTATGGGTTGCCCTAAGGGATCTTGGAGACAGCCCTTTCCAGTGGACATTCACGTCTGGCATGCTGTCCCCAATCTAGGCTCCAGGTAGATACGCGTGGTGCCTTTGGAAAGCCCCAGGGCACAGTGGCCAGGGTCCACTTTGGCCACATTGGCCAAGTGATGTCCATCCGCACCAAGTTGCAGAACAAGGAGTATGTGATTGAGGCCCTATGCAGGGCCAAGTTCAAGTTCACTGGCTGCCAGAAGATTCACGTCTCCAAGAATTGGGGATTTACTAAGTTTAATGTGGGTGAATTTGAAAGCATGGTGGCAGAAAACCGGCCCATCCTGGATGGCTGTGGGGTCAAATAGATCCCTAATCGTGGCCCCTGGACAGATGGCGGGCCCTGTGTTCCTGAGCGCCATTGTCCCCTCCTTACGCCCACCAGTAAATCCTACTTTCCTGTCACATACACACACAAAGACAAGTGTAGTTCTCAAATATAATACCCTTTCTTGTCTCTGTACTTGTTTCCCTTTCCTGGAATATCCTTTTTATATCTCCCCAGCCCTTCTCCCTTCAAATGGACCATTTCTTATTCTGCAAGCACTTAGATGCCTCTTCCTCTAGGAAACTTGTCCTGTCCTCTGGAAGCAGTGTTAGCCATTCTCTGCAAAGCTTGTGGTAGTGCCATATTCGTGGATCCTATTACAGTATATATCAGCTTGCTGTACTTATTTAACTTTTTGTTTCCCTGCACTAGACTGAGAGTCCCTGGAGGGCAGCGACTATGTTCTTCTTCTGTTCATCTTTGTGTCCTCAGCCCTTAGTGCAGTGCATGGCACATACTACTTAATAACTATGGATTGAATGAATACTCATGCATGTGTTTATTAATTTTGTATTAGAAAAAGAAACTTTAGAAATTAGTATTTCATACCTTTTGAAAATTAATAAATTTAGAGACAGTATTCTCTATTTATGATAAGAACAGAACTAATCCTGAGCTCTTTCTTAATAAATAAAGGTGGAAGGGGTCAAATAAAACAAAAAAAGAAGACTGTACCACAAAAGGTTACGATAGCCAAAATTCCCAGAGCAAAGAAGAAATATGTAACAAGAGTGTGTGGCCTTGCAACTTTTGGTGAGTCCAAGCTTAAGTATGTTTAAAATGTGTGAACTACATTCATTCATTTCATTCTCTCTTTTTAATCTAGTATCATGAAAATTTTACAGTTCTGTTTTTTGCTAAGAAGATACAAAATGAGATTTTGCATTTCTGACTATAGGTTCAAAATCAAATTTTGAAGCAACTTAAGAATCTTTTGCACAGGGGACTGGTTTAACTTTTTCCTTTCCAGAATTTCTGTTTGGGCACGTCTTATGTAGAATGAGGAGGGCTGGATAGGTTTCCCTGTGAAGTCTACCAGCATTGCTCCTTGTTCCCTGCAGTCTCGGTAGCCAAGTGGTTGCAAAATGACCTATCCCTTCTGGGATGACGGTAGAGGGTGAGGGAAGGTGGTTAGTGGCAGAATGTCCTGCTTCAGAGCCCCTTCAGTTCCTGGAAGACTTGAATGAATAGTGAAACCACAGTGATTAGGTTCCTTCATTTGACAACATGGAATGAAAAGCAGTCACTACACCACATCATAAATATTAGGCTTGTTTCTCTGCTGTAAATTTTTCTTCTGTAAAAAGGGATAACCAGAAGAACTTCATATACTTGGAAGTGTAGATGTAATGTTGGAATTAATGTGTTCCTGGATTTATTTTGGTCTTACTATATGAGTTAGGAATAGTGTGGATGATCTTATTTTTATGTACTGAGGCTTTATTTGACCTTAAAAATATAAGTTGAATTGTTAAGATGACTGCCTATGGGTAGTTTGTAATTATTGTTCTGAAAGGAACATGAAATCCATTAACACAATCTGTTTTATGAACTTAAAATGCAGATTAAATTTCAAGATGGAAAAGTATCTTTGACATATGATACCAATTATAGTCTTGCTATTTCTTTTTTTAAAATAACAGAAATCGATCTTAAAGAAGCACAAAGGTTTTTTGCTCAGAAATTCTCCTGTGGTGCCTCAGTAACAGGGGAGGATGAAATCATCATTCAGGGAGACTTTACAGATGACATAATTGATGTCATTCAGGAAAAATGGCCAGAAGTGAGTATTTGGAACATGTGCATCTATAGAAATAAGTTATTAAAGTAAGTTCCTTCTATGTTAGTTGATAACCACAACTCATGAAATGTAATTATTTTTATTTTACAGGTGGATGATGATAGCATTGAAGATCTTGGAGAAGTGAAGAAGTGATTTTGAAAATTTGTCTGTATTTAAAGATCTGAACTGATTGTTGATATGGCCAAAGGGAGAGAGGCCTTTTAAAATATATATATATATATTTATCCTACAGTAAAACTGTAGCCTACCCTCACCCTTGGCATTTTCACTGTTCCGTACAGGGCTGCTTGGTTTTTTGTTGTTGTTGCCAAAGTCTGATAAACAGGAGAGACTGTCATGCTTATGCATGAAACAGAATTTAGTCAAATAAAAAATTTTGGTCATTTGGTACTGACTTTTCTCTTTCTTTTTAACTTTTTATTTTTGGAAAAATTAGACTTTCTGTGGAAAGCTTTTCTGTTGATCATTTTAAAATAATCATGATTTTATCAAATCATGATTTTTTTTTTTTTGGTTGTTAAGCTGAGTGATACTTTGAAGAATTTGAATTTGGCTTCATCACCAGTAATAACTGTCTCCTTGCTTCGTTGGTGTGATAGTTTTGAGATGCTTGAGCATCTCATGGATCTGTGGTTGAATTTGCTTCATTGTCACCAATCAAGTTCACTTTGTGGGCCTATTAACATTGTTGGTAATAGTTGATCAAGCTGTTCTGGAGATTATTTGGTCAAGTTTAGCCTTAAAACCATCTGCACTGTTTGACCCACTTCTTGACATTATCCTAAAGATACAATGTCTTGCTTAAAACTATGGATGAAGGTGTTCATCAAAGTGCTACTCATAAAAAAATTGCAAATGATAAAGATGAACAATTGGGAAATGGTTAAAGAAATGATGGTTTGTCATATGGTAGAATATTTGCATATATTTTAAGATATTTTCTAAGAATACTTGGAAAGGTGTTTGATAATGTTAAGTAGGAGGTCAGACCCCCAAATCCATTTTATACATTATTTTCATCATTGTTTTGAGTGGATAGGCATCCAGAGAGGCTGAGTTCTTTTTCTGGCTATAAATTTATGTAAAATTATCATAACCATTTGAAAATAATATACACCATTGCTCAGTATAGTCTGGAAAATAGCAGTTAAAATGTGTTTTTCTTACAAGAGAAATAGTGACAGTGAATCTTAATGAGTACATTAAATGAATTTAAAATCTGTTTTTATAAAGGTCTTATGTCAGGTGCTACAAACTAAAGACTCATGGTATTTTAAATTGCTATAGACACCTTTAAGAACGTTAGAACCCATTGTTTATTGCCATGCAAATTGCAATCTTAAATGAATTAGTGCGTTTTTAAATAATTGAAATCTTAGACTGTATAATAAAGATGTAAATTAAGAAAATGAAATTCTGCATTAACTGTGAATTTAGCTAAATAAAATTATCTGATGAAGCAAATTTATCCATCAAAACCATTTGGTACGTGGTTATGTGTGTATTCTCTTGGTGCTGGAAGATGTCTTTGTGCTTGTATCAACACGTGTGACTTCATGTAAAGATTCTTAATGTTCACAGTTCTTGGCAAATGCAATTTCAGTCCATATATAGCCAGCAGTGGATGGTACTGCAGGAAAATGCAGGATTAAAATCGTCCTTGTGTATAATATGTGTGAATCTTTTTCTTTGACCTGAAATTTAAAATGCAAGAGTTTAATCTCTGATTAAAATGTGTAGTTTAGGGGGTGTTCCCTGGTGGTCCAGTGGTTAGGGCTTGGCGCTTTCATTGCCGTGGCCCGGGTTCAATCCTTTGTCGGGGAACTAAGATCCCACAAGCTGCGTGACGTGGCCAAAAAATATATAATATATATACATATATATATATTCAAGGATTGAGTTTAATTCATACATTCTGTGTATGTATTATGTAAATGCTTTTATAATGTATTTTTAGCAGAAGAATACTAACCTTTAAACAGCCTTATAATATGTAAGAGATTTGCAGAGATAAAGCTGGCAACTTCAAATACAAATAAAGTTTTTTTTTTAATTTTAACAATAGATTTTATTTAACACAGTATACCCCAAATACTATTATTTCAACATGACAACGTTTTGATATGTAGTATTTTATTCATTTAAGAAAGTAGATGCTGGGGGCTTCCCTGGTGGCGCAGTGGTTGAGAGTCCGCCTGCCGTTGCAGGGGATATGGGTTCGTGCCCTGGTCCGGGAAGATCCCACATGCCGCGGAGCGGCTGGGTCCGTGAGCCA